TTTGGTAGAGAAGATCGGACAGATTTCGCCAAGGCAAGCTGGGCAGTCGCCTATTGCTCCTATTCCAGATAACCCACTGTACCCTGTCTGAAAGGAAGTAACGCTAGAGTAGACTCGCGAAAAGTGTATAAGACACTTTTAAGATCAACTAAATAGCTAAGCCCAAGGGAAGTCGTTCGGGGAGGCCCTTCATAATTCCACAAGGGTGAGAAGAGAAAAAACACGATAACGAAACGTTGAATCATGTAGAAAACGTAGGGTAAATGCAAAGCAAAATAGGAAGAATATGCAGTAAGCTAAGCGAAGAGGCAAGCAAGAGACATGTTAGACTACTATTTAACTACTACAAGAAAAATATGTTAGTACACTACTACAAAAAAAATAATAACCTATACAAACTAAAATTAATTCAAATAAAATACACTACAAAAAAACACAAAATAGAGAAATATTTTAACTATGGGATCTTCTATCTTCTCCAATGTTGATCTGAAACAGATACAGTGGTAACAGATTAATAAAGAGCAATTGATTTTAATTATATCAAACATTCTCAACTTAATGAACAACAGACTGTAACATTCCAAAGTTGGTAAATGTAAAAAGGAAACCAAATCCAGGAGGAATACAATAGCAGACAACTTCTTGTTTCAGTGGAATTTAGATATGATTCTATTGTAGACATTGGTTGTTTCAGTATGATCAGCCTCTCTCTAATTTGTTGTCCAATCTGTAAAAATGAGCAAAAAAAAACAAATTAGCCATAGTATTAAACAAATAAGATATCAAATTAAAGAAAAAGCAGTTAAAACCAAGTTAAACAGTAAAATGTTAAAGGAAGATATACATACAAGTGAATGAAAATGTTTCATCAGTAAGGGAAATAAACAAACATTTCTTTTTAAATTAGAGTCAAAATTTATGCATAGTATGTATTAAGGATAACAAAGCTGACATGTAAAAGTTGACTTTCAACTAAAAATGTAGATTAGAAATGTCTAAGAGATGGGTCAAAACTTCACACATATTGTTTTTAACGTAATGTTGTCACTAACCAAACAATCATCATAAATCCTTTTTTTACTAATTACAACATACTGCCTTTGTTTTTAGTCGAAAAAAGGCACCTTTTTGCTTCCTTCAGTTATCACCATGTACTGGTATCAAGTATAATAAGACTAAAACACGACATCCAAAGTGTTCCTATAAAATGAAATGACTATAAAAATATAATTTAGCTTTCCTAGTAAAAAAATATGCATAGCATGTTAAATTAATGACAAACCAATAAAATATATTACGGCCGGTATTCTTACCTTGATTAATAGCAAAATCGTTCTATGTAAAAATTCAAAAGCAAACAAAGTCAATAAACAACTAAAATAAAATGAAAATGCGCAATGAAAGGCAAGTAAAATGAACTAAATATTACAATGATGACGGGGTGGTCACTTTTAAAATAGATTAGCAGCAAAGCGAATTGAAAATGAACGTCAATCTTCTCTCTTTTGCCTATTATTATTAATCTGTAAAAGTGAACAATAAAAATTAAATACCTACACTATCACATAAACATCAACTGGAATGAAAAAGCGCACTGAAAGCACCGAAAAACAACTCTCGACAGTGTTAAAATGGCGAGTGGCGTTATTTTCATAATAGTTATTTTTAAAATAAAATCTTATCAACAACAAACTCTATGAACTAACACTAACTTATCTATGCACTGACTGACGCTGGCTGACACGATAATACTCTGGATAATACGCTAATCATAGATAACATAATAATGTTCTATGTAAAAGTGACGTATCATGGTGGTATAAAATATGCATTTTTATTTTCATGAATGTTTCATGATAGTCCGCTAATGGCTAAAAATAAACCCCAAATGTCCGCAAATGCTCTAAGCAAGGAAATTATTTTAATTCATAATTTAATTAATTTCCGACACCATCATGCGATTATGTGTTGAACTAGATTGAAAACTGTAAGCTGTGAAATTATAATAATTTTGGTATTACCGGCGCCATCATACGGTTAGTAGCTGAACTAT